CCATCAATACTCTGCATCCTTACAGTCCCCAACATTGAAAACCACTGCAGTTCTCACAATCATGAAGCCCAGTTGAGGGAGCTTCCTGAAATACACATAGTTGCACTAGTCACAGGAAAGAAGCTAAAACTGCCCTACCGTCTGTGCCCTGCATGGCCATTGAGATACACTATCTTGGAACAGGAAACAAGAGCTGGAGATAATCTTGCTCCAGGGTTGAGAGACCATGGCTCCCCTTCATCTCTAAAGCTAAGCCACTGCCAAACTACACCCACATTCCCATGCCAAGCTGCATGCAGCTGTTAACAGTCTTCCCCATTAGGACAAGCAGAGGTGGAGTCATTACACCTACCTCTCTCCCCACAATCTCAGACGGGAGCTGAAATTGTGTACTTCACCAGGGAATCATTTTGGAACCTTGTTGGAATTGCTCCAAAAACTATCAGTTGATGCTGTGCCCTGCTCTATGGGACTCACACTGAAGGTACACACAGTCACTCAAGGGAATAGTGCTTTGGTGTAGCCTTTCCATATAAGTCTCCAAGTTTCTGCTGCATCCTGTCCCCCAATACCACAGCAGAAGCAATGCCAGGTATCTAGGGAAACAGTGCCTCTGCCACCAGAGCAGTCACATTCCTTCCCTGCCTCCTGGGAATAAAATACCTTGCCTGTTCAGAAAGGGCAACACTGCCCTGGTACCTAAGTTGAAGAAGTTCCCTACATCCCAGGAAGCAGTGTCTTCACTATGTACAGCAGTCACGCACCCCACATTTAACCTAAAGTGGTGTCCTGCGTCAAAGTAAAATGGTGCCTGGAATGCCCAAAACAGTACATGTCTCCCAACTCCAGCCTGCACTGAGGCAGTGCAATGTGCTGTGGAATCAGTGCCCTGGTAGAGGAGAGCAACTACTTACCCAGGGATGAGCTGACATAGTCACCTGAATCCTTGAGAAAAAGGGAAGGGATTGAGTTGAGACATCCAACACTGTAGCTCAAACAACTCTCACACCCTGCTTCTCTGGAGCTAGGCTGGCCTTTAGCTTCTGAGCTACTGCAACACTACTATCGCTGGAAAGAGGATTCATCACTGTGCTGCTCCCTACCCTCCATGGTTTAAATAACAGCAATGCTCTGCCATCCTAGGTTACTTGCTACTGCTATACACAGCATCACAGAGTCTGCAATATGACTGAACTAAAGTTTAGAGTCACTACTACATGGTGCCTCATACTCTGGGTCTAAAATTGTCAGTAAGCCCTATTGACTCAGGTTGTTCAATTACAACCATACATTTGTCCCTTGGCCCAAGCCTCTAGAATACCTCTTTCACCCCAGAGTTAAGCCAGAGCTGTGGCCTACCCCTTGAGCACCCCAGAGTTAGAATCAAAACTATCATATACCCTCTGAGCATGAGCTACTCAAGGGTGCCACAGAGTCAAAGATTGTGACTCTGTGGGCAATATATATCCAATCCTGCTACAGAGAATGAGCCTGTACCCCAAGACCCAGTTGCCACAATACGTTAATGAAACCCTGAGCCTAAAACCCTAACCCCACAATGAGTTCAAGTACCTGTACCTGGAAGCCAACAACACTGAAGTCCCTGTGAGTAAGGTCAGGATTGACATCAACAGGAATTGCCAAAACTAAGTCTTACCCTTTTGGAAAAATGATTAATAGGAGAACCTCAAAACACTTTAACATCAAGGATATTAACAAACTGCACTGCTGCCCACCCTGCCACAGACTTCTGTAGCTTGAGCCATTGAGGTGTTTAAAGTTATTGCTGATGTTCACTTCAGGTCAAGAGGCTGCACAGAGACTATTCCACTGCACTTAACCATAAACAGAGTCACCACACCTCTTGTCAGTACTTGCATACAAACACTCATCTTCAGGTGACCCTCTTTCTCCATGAAAGGCACTCTAGAAAGTTTGGAAGAGGTGATTGTTCCACCAGATGCACAGATATCAATGCAGGGAAACAAGAAACATGAAAAATCAAGGAAATATTACATCACACACACAAAAAACCCATAACTCTCCTGTAACAGATTCCAATGAAATGGAAATCAATATATTGTCAGAAAAACATTCAAAATAAAAACTTAAGGAAACCCAATGAGATGAAAGAAAATAAAAATAAGATGACCCCATATAACCATGAAAACAATTCACAATACATATATGAAATTCAACAAAGGCATAGAAATCATAGAAAAGAATGAAACAAATCTTAGTGCTAAAGAATTCAATGAGTAAAATTAAAAGTGCTATATACATTTTTAAAGATGTTTTGTGTTTATTTAGTTTCTATTTTGTTTAGTTCTGCTCTGACCTTTATTATTTCTTTTCTTCTACAAATTTGGGGGTTGATATGTTCTTGCTTTTCTAGTTCCTTAGAGTGCATTATTAGGTTGTTTATTTGAAATGGTCCTACTTTTTTTTTTTTTTTTTGGCCAGGGCTGGGTTTGAACCCACCACCTCCGGCACATGGAGCCAGCACCCTACCCTGCTGAGCCATAGGCACCACCCAGTCCTACTTTTTTGATGTTAGTATTTATTACTATAAGCTATCCCCTTAATATTATTTTGCTATATCCCATAGATTTTGATATGTTCTGTTTTTACATTCATTTTTTTTCCAGAAATGTTTTGGTTTTCTTCTTCATTTCTTCATTCACTCAATGGTTGCTCAGAAACATGTTGTTTAATTTCTGTATATTTGTATAAACTCTAAAGTTGCTCTTTTGATGGTTTTCTAGTTTTATTTCATTATAGTCTGAGAAAAGATTTCATATAATTTCTTATTTTCTTAAATGTCTTGCAACTTGTGGCCTTACATACAATCTATCACAAAGAATATTCCACATACTAATGAGAAGAATGTGCATTCTCCAGACACTGGCTAAAGTGTTCTGTAGATGTTTTTTAGGTCCATTTGGTCTAAAGTGACAGTTAAAATCCAATGTTTCCTTGTTAATTTTATGCAAAGAAGGTCTGTCTAATGCTGAGAGTGGGGTGTTGAAGTCTCCAACTATTATAGTATTGGAGTCTATTTCTCCCTGTATATCTAATATTTGCTGTCTATATTTTAATGCTCTGGTTTGGAGTTCATATAAACTTAAAATGGTAATATACTGTTGCTAAATTAGTCCCTCTATAATTATATCATGGCCTCCTTTGTCTCATTTTACTGTTCTTGATTTATAATCTGTTTTATCTAATATAAGTATGGCTACTCCTACTTGCTTTTAGATTCTGTTTCCCTAAAATATCTTTCCCCACTGAATCACTTTTAGTCTATAAGCACCTTTACAGGTAAACTGAGTTTCTTGTAGCTAGTATTTAGTTTAGTTATTTTCTAATCCATTCAGCCGGTCTATAACATAAAATCATTGGCATTCAAGGTTATAATGACATGTGAGAACTCATTCTTTGCATTTGGTTGTTTTCTGATTGTTTTGTATATTCTTTCTTCCACTCTTTACCTCTTATTTATCATTGTCATTTGGTGGTTTTCTATAGTGCTAGTATTTAAATCCTTCAGTCTATTCCTCATTGATGTACTTGCTTTACCAATGATTTTTTCACATTAATGATTTTCAAAATGATAGATACCATCCATTGACTTCCATGAATAGGACTCCCATAAGAAATTTTGTAGTGCTAGTCTAATGAAGATTAATTCCCTTAGCTTCCCTTAGTTTGTCTTAGAAATATTTGATTTCTCCTTCATTTATGAAGGCTAATTTACTGGGTATATTATCAGTGGCTGATATTGTTTTTCTTTCAGCACTTTGAAAATGCCACTCTATTCTTTCTTGGCTTGTTAGGTGCCTGCTGGTAAATGCACTTTTTGTCTGTTTAGGGTTTCCTTATATTTGACTAGTCATCAATCCAACTCTTGATGCTGTTAAAATGTTCTTATTGCCCATAACTATTGAGAATTTGGCTGAAATGGGGCCTAGAGACATTCTTCGGTTATATTTCTTTAAGGTTCTCTGAGCTTCCTATAACTGGATGTCTCAATCAATCAGTAGACTTAAAAAGTTTTCAGCCATTCTCTCATTAAATAGGTCTGGGTTCCCTTACCATCTAGAACACAAAATATTTAAATATGTGGCTGCTTTATGATGTCTGTATGGAACATAGTTCTTGTTCATTCTTTTCTATTCATGTGTCTTATGTTTTTTCTGTCTGGCTTATTTAAAAAACTTGAGTGCCAGTTTGAACTTTTTTCTTCAAAAGACAAATGTACTGGAAGAGTGAGGTAAATTGGCTAACTAGAGACATTAGTCCTCAGATCATCCCAGAATAACTTTTTTGTTTCATGTGAAAAAGCATAGCCAGGTGGAATACTGATGGGAAAAGGACAGAACTACTGAACATCCCACAGGAAGAAGTTTCAGAGCAGAACAAAAGGAGAAAGATTTTGCTTGAGTCAATCCCCAGGGAATTTGTACTCCCACAATAAGGGTAAATTAGAAGATACATGTTTATTCTCTTCACACCTGTAGCAGACTGCTGGCTCCTGAACTGGTAAGAATCTCCTGTCTCATGAGTCTGAACAATGCTTCCATTGTTGAACTGAGAACTTCTTAAAGACTGAATATTCGGCTGCCAAACCACATGGGGTTGCTTCCCCCCACCATAAACCTCAGCCACGATGGCAATGGATGCTAGTGCATCCACTATGAGCCTCTATCTTGTACAGGAGTCCCGTTGTCACTGGCACACAAACAACTGTTGGTCAGCATGCCTCTGACTGTGACAAGCTCAAGTGCTCTGCAGAATTCCCAGAATTCTGCCTCCTAGGATCGGCTGCCCTAGTAGATGAGAATGAGTGCCATGAGCCACATGACTTAGGGGACAAATGAAAGTGGAACACCTGGTCTCCTTCGCCTGAGAACCCCATGGCTTCTGGAACACATGTCTCCTCACCCACCTCAATGGAGATGTGAGTGCAGAGTGGAGTCCATATGTTCTTAACAGATTACCTGCTCCATTTTGATAAGGAAGCAATCAATAAAGTCCCGAGGGTTGTTAACATCCAATGATTCTTGGTGTTCCTTTACTTTCTCCAAAATATAACTTTTCAGAAAAGCAACATTTTTAAAAAATTTGTTATGACTCCCCGGGAAATAATCAATAAGAGCAGGAAAGTTATTGCAGATCTGAAAGACAAACAATAATTTATTAAATAAAAAATACTAATTGAAGACATATGCCATAATTCAAGCCTGATTAGAAATGACAGTTATTAAAGTGAACATACGCTACCCATCTTGAGGGAGAAGTTTTATTACAGGATAGTAATTCTCTCTATATCAAAAGATTTGTGGGAGAAAATTCTGCCCTGAAAATCAAACATGTTAATCATTTCCTAGATTTATACATTATATTTATAATGTAAAAGCACCTTTATAGTCTCTCACTTTTATACCAATTATTCCCCACAACCTTGAAATGTAAGATAGAATCAACTACAATTGATATTTTATTAATGACAATACATTTTAAGTGAGTTTGGGAAACTTGATTGAGAGCACAAACTCGTCTATGCTTTATTTATTTCTATCAGGTAGTCTCAAAAATGGAACCCACATCTTTAGAAGCAGAAGAAGCTCAAAGATACCTTGAAAGCAACTGTACCAGAGGAGTCAAGTAACTTCCCCAAGATCCCACAATTATTTAGGTAAAGTGTGGGAAATGCCAATTCAGCACAGGGTAAAATTGTGATTGTTGTTTCTGGTTCATAAACCATAAAACCAATCATTTGGTCACTCCTAACTCAGATACCTTGTAAGGTAGGATGACTTCTAAGGCACCAAACACCACTATGCAATATTGCCTAGAAGTTTGCTGACAGATTATTTCTACGGTCTCAAATACTCTCTTTCCTTGGGGAAATATGATATTCTCAAATTAGGATATTTCTGTCAGATAATATGACAAACAAATCTCTAAGTCTCGATTGGGAGGCAAACATTGTGGGTAACAAAAGCATTCAGAAGGGCCCAGTAAAATACGCACATTTTGTTCGGACAGTTACCAAGTACTTCACAGAAACAGGACTTTGGATTCAGTGAAAAAATCCCTATACTGGAAGCTCATGGACTTGAAAGCCAGTGCTATATTTGGGCATTCATTTCCCATGTGTAATATAAAGGGTCCAGGGATTCTTTCAAGATATTCACCTCATGATGTTCGGGATAAGACAGCAGAATTCAAACATGCACTTCATAGCTAGGTCCATATGGAATTTTGGACTTGTGAGAGAAAAGAGCATACGTGGTTTCTCAGAAGGAAAGAATCATAGTCCCACCTGTGCCCATGAAGAGCTCAGAATTCTGGTGTTTTCCTCTGATTTTTCCATCAAGTTAAGGAAATTCTAATCTTTATAATCAAAACGATTCTGGAAAATAATGGAGCAGATCACATTGCAGGGTGCACAGCTGAGCATAAAAGTAGGATCACAAGGTGAGGCTAAAAAATAGAAATAATTTTAAAATACATTAAAATATAAACTGAAAATAATTTGTCTTTATTGACAGATAAAGGTAATTTTAGAATTATAAAGACTCTATCTTACATGTAAATTTCTTTAATAGCAGAAAAGAATTGCATACATAAAATCAATGCATTTCTTTGGCTTTAAACCTGAAGTGACCATTATAAACTAGCTAGTTAAATAATGGTTTTGCAAATTCTCAGTTCATACCCACTGTCGTTCTTCATACCCTTTTAACCCAAGCTGTCTGTTAATTTAGTAAGATAGAAAATATATTATTTAAAAATCCTAATAATTCAAGTTTTCAGAACAGAATCATCTGTTTGCAAATGTTGTAGACAATAAAGCACTGAGATAGAAAGGTAGAGAATAGGTGGGGACCTGGAAACTTTTGATGTGTAACACATAGCTGAAGGAATCATGTGTTGAACCAATAGAGAGGAATTAGACAGAGTATAATCATGGATGAATTCATGTATTTAGAGGACGAAATTTATAGAGCAGGATGCATCTGTGGTATGTGAGAAGAGAAACTAATAAAGATGAACAGTAAGTATTCATTACCTTTAGGGAAATACCCAGTAGTAGGATTGCTGGATTAAATGATAGGGCTACTTGGACTTCTTTGAGAAATCTCCTTACTGTTTTCCATGAACAGGACTTTTAAGAGGGAAAAAAAAGACACCTGCACTCAAATGATTATTGCAGTGCATTTCAGTTACAAAGATGTGAAATCAAGTTAAGTGTGAAGCAATTCATGAGCGATTTCAATAAAATGTGGTATATGCATACCATGGAGTACTACCTAGACATAAAAAGTGTGAATTAATAATTTTTGCAACAATCTGGATGGAACTAGAGACCTTTCTGCTAAATGAAGCATCTCAAACATAGAAAAACAAACACCACATGAACTTTGTATTAAAATAAAACCTATGAGTGCCCATGTACACAGAGGGAAACAAAACCCAATGGAAATCAATAAGCAGGAAAGGAAGCAGGAAGGGAAGGGAGGAAAAGGGCAAAAACCTACCTAATGAGTACAATGAATACTATTTGGGTGATGCTAAGACCTATAGCCAGGACTCAAGCATTACAAAAGCAATCAATGTAACCCAAAATCTTTGCACTCCCTTAATATTTAAAATAAAGTACAAATAAACAAACTTTTAATAATATTTCTTTAAAAACCTATATTCGTGATTTATTATTTGAAAACAAAGAAACAAAGTTTAGGAGATGAGAGGATTAAATGACCTTTTATGCCAGCACTGTATAGACAATCATGCCTGTACACACAGGACAGACACGCACAAGCTCCCTGGGCTCTCTGCATCTAACATTGTCTACTTGAAGGCTGACAAGCAGAACTCATAATGAAATATCAGGTTGCCCCTGAATATGTTCAAGGATGTTACCAAAGAACACCGCAGTCTTTTCAGGGCAGTGATACTGAGTGAGAGTCACTCACCCTTGGTTTTTCTCAACTCCTCCACAAGGCAGCGGGCCTCCTCTTGGACACGTTCCTCAATGCTCCTCTTGCCCATCCCAAAATTCCGCAGGGTCATAAGGGAGAAGCGCCGTATCTCCTTCCACCTATTTCCATTGCTGAAAGCAATTCCTACAAGAATAGGAAAAAGAAAATAGCAGGGAAATCCCAGCCAAGGAGGAGGGATGTGACACATCACAGCCATGTAGGTGGGCCAAGCTCTGCCCTGGGAGTTCTTTAAGACTCTGGTTCCATTCTCCCCACCCTTTTTACTACTGATGACTCAGGAACATGTACACCTACCATGTCCTCTAGCAAATCTTTCAATCAGTAGGGTACTACCTCTTCCAGAAAACTCCTCTCCATGATCAACCAGTGCTTCCTTCACTGCTTTATATCCATGCAACACCACAGCGGGCTTCATGCCCAAATACACAGTGAACACAGGGCCATAGGTTTTTGAGAGCTAAGGAAGAGAATACAGAGAATAGCAAAAGAAGCCACTATTTGATCCATATATTGTGCCTAACCTGGACTGATATCATTATGGTTTTGATGCTTTTATTATGCTACACACAGCTTCAAACATTACTGAATTTTATACATAGGTGGATTACACTGTGCTGTACCATTTAGCTGAGCCAAATGGTATACAGGTTACATTAATCCTCATATCAACACATTCAGCATGTTTATTTTCTCTGTTTTAAATAAACAAGTTCAGAGAACTCTAAATTCATTTCAAGTGTTGCACAGCTAATATTTAAAAAAAACAAAACTGGAACTTCAGTTTATGCAAATTGTGACACTTGAGCAATTTTTTTGCATCTCCACATCTACTTCCAGATAAACACTCACGTCTCATGAAGATCTTGACCAAATAGCCATGTGATGAACACTAGAAAGCTGTTTTTAAATGTCACCCAGGTGATCTGAATACCCACACCAGTTTGGGACCTGCTGCTATTACACTGCAAGGCTTCACTAGGACATGTGACATCTCCTGGAAAAACAATCTACTAGAATTCTTAGTCACACATTGCAATTTTTGCACAACCAAAAAGAATTCTAATGCCACCAATTGAGCTTTGATTGATTTTCTTCATTAATGTATGCTAATCTGGAACACATATTTCCTTTACATAAGGAATAAATGGATTTTTTCACAGAAGTTCAGCTTTCATGACTGCTCTAGAAACACATGGCCAATATTATAGATGATTCTTTGAATGAACTCTCTAATCACACATGCTTCCCTTGTCAGTTTTATCCTGGGACAAAAATCATACAAAATGACTACAAAACAAAGTAGGGACACAAAACTCCAAACTTTTGCCACTTTATCATTTGGATTCTACTGCAGAAAGATGTAAATGTTTCTCTATGCACAAAATGCGCTATTTCATTTTACTATGTCCAGCAATGACAAACTGAAAAAGGCAACAGAAACATCAAAGTATTTGGCTGTACAACAATCCGTTGTAGGCTTTGCACCTGTGGCTCAAGTGGCTAAGGTGCCAGCCACATACACCTGAGCTGGCGGTTGGAATCCAGTCCAGCCCTCCAACCAACAATGACCATAGCGACCAAAAGATAGCTTGGTGTTGTGGCAGGCAACTGCAGTCCCAGATACTTGGGAGGCGGAGGCAGGAGAATCGCTTGAGCCCAGGGGTTGGAGGCTGCTGTGAGCCCACAGTACTCTACCCAGGGTGACAGTGTGAGGCACTCTCTCAAAAAACAAACAAAAACAAACAAACAAACAAAAAACCCAATCTGTTGTAATAGTATACTTTTAGGAATATATTTTACACTTATTTTTTTTAAAAGGCATCAATTTTCTCACCCATTGTTTAAGAGCATAAAATATACTTACATTAGTTAAAGATTTGCCGATGTTCTTAATATCTAACTGTAGGATATTTCCAAATATAGGGAGAGGAGTGGGGCCAGGTGGGAGCTTCCTTCTCCCAGAGCTCTGCCTCCAGAGGGAAAGGAGAAGTAAACAGGAGAGACAGAGCACCAGGGCTACAGCTGGGTCCATTGCAACCTTCTCTTGCAGGTAAGACAACAGTGAGTTTGCACTCCAGGCCTTTTATAATGCTCCCTGCTAATTTACTTGTGTCCTTTTTGGCATGAACATTGGCTAATCAGCTAGATGCACCTTCTACTCACTGCTAAGTGGAATTTGGCCCACTGATAGAGATAGAGTGTAAAATGTTGTTTACGCTAGTTCTCCTTCTTTGTAATACCAACTCTGCTGATTCTGGATTAATTGAATTATGTTGAGTTCCAAGTATTAGTAATGAAAACAAATTAGTCAAGTGGTTCCAATGTGCAACCATAATTGAGAAATATTCAAGTCAATGATTCACTCCCAAAATTTACTCAAAATTCTGAAGCATCAGACTAATGGTGGCACCTGTGGCTCAGAGGAGTAGGTCACTGGACCCGTTTACCAGAGGTAGTTGGTTCAAAACCAGGACTGGCCAAAAACTGCAAAAATAAATAAATAAATAAATAAATGTATTCTATGTCTGGTGTGCCAAAGGTCCATCAAAGAACAATAGACTTTGTCCATGATAATGAAATCATTTCAAATATTTAATATGCTTTACCAGCAAGAGACTAGCCTAAGCACATAACTCATACATCTTTTTTATCTTTTATTATTGGAGATTCTCTGAGGGTACAAAGAACCAGGTTACAATGATTACATGAGCAAATATATATCAGGTAATTGGCTCAGCAAATATACATGACTTTTCACCTTAAAACATCTAGGAAAACACATGATAGCAGGGATCATATATATATTTTCAAATAGAAAAAGAGTTTGGGAGAACAGGAGATCTGTCAGTGATCCCAGCTGATAGGTGGCAGGAAAGGACTTTAGCTGAGACTTCCTGATTTCCATTGTGGTGCATTATCATTTACACCATAGCTGCCTTCAGGGCAATTTCAGCAAAATAAAACACAATTGCAAATATTTGTTACTCTGAGTGTACACAATATAAACACTTCCAGGAATGCAAGAAGATTCATATAAAATTGAGCCCTTTTGTGACTCCAAGGATAACAGAACCGAATGTGGGGAAATGAAGAAATAAAAGAGAGTTCTTCCACTCTCCATCACTACAAAGCCAATAGTTGCTCAGTGCAACTGACATGAGAGCCAGTCTCAGAGAATTTAGTGGGGAGGGCTTGAGAAAGTATGGCTTCTTCCCCTCCAGTTACCTCCAGACACAGCTTCCTCCAGGCTTTTGGATCTGTCAGTGTTGGAAATTATAGAATGAAATAATGCACAGTAAAGAAGAACAATTATGGATAGAACATCACTGTGGATTCAATAAGGGTGGAAGATAGGAAATCATTAAATGGTCCCACCACACAGAACCGCCACAAAGTTCAAACCTAAGTAGGGGCTTATATTCAGTAGTTAAGAGAATCTAAGCATAATCAGAGAATCTATACATTACTAAATCACTAATGACATTATTTTTGCAAAGGTGTTGTCTGTAACGTTATCATCATATTCGTTCTAAATGATGAGTACAGTTATTTCCAGGTCTTTTATTAAGAAAAAATATGTCAAGACACAGTTAGTTGCACAGTGTTGTATCAGACATGTTAACAGTGATTGTGAAAACATACAGAAAATTTTTGCACCATTATATACCTTTTGAATCTCTTAATACCTAAAGTAAAATTAACATATTTAAGAGATGAGTAAACTGGGTCTCAGAGATTCAGTAATTTGTTATAAAACTTGGTGTCTGAAGTGCTGAATCTGAGGCTAAAACCCCTATGCTCCGTGCCTTGCACCCTTCCCTATGAAGAAAACATTGAGTTCAACTGAGTTTCCTAACATTGGCTGATAGTGTACCGTAATTCAATATTTTCTTATTCAGCTTCATTGCTTGTTTTCAGAATAAATATTAATATAGTTAATAATTATTGCAATAGTTTATTTAAATTGGAGTCAGAGAGATTTTTTTATACCCCGTAGAACTACAGTGAGTCCAGGTCTTGCTATACTCTTTATCTGGAACAAAGAGGAGCAGTAATTCAGTGCCTGACTCACATAGCACCAAACTCAAGAAAACCACACTACTGTGATTTTTTGGTTTGTAGTTTTTGGGAGGGGTTGTTTGTTTTTTGAGACAGAGTCTTACTGTCACACTGGGTAGAGTGCCATTATAACTCAAAAATGATCTCAAACTCTTAGGCTCAAGAAATTGTCTTGCTTCAGCCTCCCGAGTAGGTGGGACTACAGGCCCCCACTACGACACCTATGTTTCTTTTATATTTAGTACAGACAATGTTTTGCTCTTTCTCAGGCTGATATAGATCTCCTGAGCTCAGGCAATCCACCCACCTTAGCCTACCAGAGGGCTAGGATTACAAATGTGAACCACAATGCCTGGCCAAATGAACGTGATTTGAATAAAAGAAGCTTGGTTTCACTTTTTAACATAGCTAACTTTTTCTTTTATGATCTTTTTCTATCTTTTTTCTATAAAAGTATGTAAATTTAAGGAATATAATTGTAATTTTATTACATTGATATGTTTCACTGTGGTACAGTCAGGGCTTTTAGTGTATCCATCAGTGGAGTAATGTATGTTTTGCCAATTATTTCTCATCATCCCCCCCCCATTTCTCCCATATTTTCAAATCTCCAATGTCTATCATACTATGCTAAAGGTCTGTGTGTACACATTATTAAGCTCCCACTTATAAATGAGAACAAACAGTATTTGTCTTTCTGTGTCTGAGTTTTTTACTTAAGAAAATGGCCTCCAGTTCTATTTGAGTTGAAGCAAAAGATATAATTTCATTCTTTTATGGCTAAATAGTATTCCACTTTGTATACAAACTACATTGTCTTTATACAATTCTTTACACATTTTCTTTATACAATTCTCCATCAGTAGTCATCAGAGAAATGTAAATTAAAACCTCAGGGAGAGGTCAGTACCTGTGGCTCAAAGGAGTAGGGCACCAGCCCCATATGCTGGAGGTAGCTGGTTCAAACCCAGCCCTGCCCAAAAAAAATCTCAGGGAGAGATTGTCTTACAACAAGAATGGCTTTTATCAAAAACACAAAAAATAACAGATGTTGGTAAGTGTCCACAGGAAAGGAGACTCCTATACATTGTTGTGGGAATGTCAATTAGTACAATCTCTAGGGAGAATAGGATGGATTGAAAGATATTTTATGAATGTTAGCTTAACAGTGGAAATGTTATAGGAGTCAACCAGGAACTGAATGCAGAGTGAAATTCACTAAAGAGACATGACAACCAGTTGCACTATGTCATTCTGGATTCTGAATTGAATTCTTAATGACACATGAGGCACATCTTTGTGCTATATTAGGGGAGAACAGTAAGTCCCAGTACATGAATATTAAGTTCTGATTTTGATTGTTTTACTGTACTTAGGTAAGATAATCACCTTGTTCTAGGGAAATGCATGCCAAAATATTCCAGCTTTTGGAATTAGGGAAAAAATTTACCCTTTAATAGTTCAAAATATAATAAAATAATTCTTAGCACATGCTACCAAATTTTATACATACCTTTGATTGTTTAAATAATGTAGTATACTATGGTCTCATATACACAAAATAAACTAGCCTTTAAAAAATGAAGGATCACATATAATTAACTGAAATGTTGTTGTGCCATTTTTCACAAGTAAAATTGAACATATTTAAGGTATGCTACACAAAGATTTGATGTATGATTTGATTAATGTATATATTATCAAATAATTACCACAATCAAGTTAATTAACACACCCATCACTTACATAATTATCTTTTTGGCTTTGTGGTGAGAACACTAAAGACTTACTCTACCTATTTTTTTCAAGATGGCTGACTAGACTCATGACTCATTCACTTAGAAGAATCAAAATAATGTGTACTTAAACAATCATGGTTTAAACACATTATCTAAGAGGAACATGAGATCTGAAAAGAAAAGTGAAAGGAAAACCAAAAACTAGGAAGGATAAGAACAACAAGAGGCAACCCTTTTGGGCCAGGACTATCTGGAAACCAGAAGGGACCCCCTAATATGAGAGAGGACGAATTCTTTCCACAGTACACTTTCCTACTGGAGAATTATACATTCCAGGCCACAGACCAGCATATTGATCTGAATCTAATTTAACTAGTGTCTAGGAGGCTGTAAGAAGGAATTATTTCAGGAAAGGAAAGTTCCATGTGTCCAATGGACTTCTGCAATCTGAGGAGCTACAGCAAGATATCATTCTTGATTCCAGTGCTCGACATACAGCATGTGGTCTTCAAAACCAGTGGCTCAGGTCCTAGGCATTAGGAAAACTTGGGATGCTGCTTGAGGAACCAGAGCATAAGCAGGGTGTAAGGTTTTGCTATTGAGATGCCAGTGTAGTGTGGGCTACAGCCACCAGTGCTAAATGTGGGTACAGTCTCTGAAATTTGAGAGGGAAAAGCATTGTTATGGAGGCTTGGTCTAGACCTGAGCTTGGGCTTTTATGACCTTGGCTTAGTGTATGCTAGACATGAACTGCAGCATCTGATGCAACAGCCACGTTAGCTAAACAGCTGGGACTAGAAGTCAAGCCTTGCCAGGACCATGGCATGAAAGGGACACAAGGCCCTCACCTGATAGCCAAGGCTTTTAGATATTGGCACTGGCCCCACCTTCTCTATACAAGAACTCAACACACTGGCAGCAACCCCTCACCCAAACATTCTACTAGAGGCCTAAGAATTGCCCAAGTCTGACCAATCATAGTTGGTGCATGCACTTACCACTATAGGGGTACCTGAATACAAGCTTGCCTTGTCTGGCTCTACCTGGATTTTGTATCCTCTCTGAATCAGAGTGTGGGATCCAGGATGTTGAGGGTTGTATAACCCAATCCACCACCTGGAACACCTGAGCATTCCTTGTGGGAGACTGAGATTGGACATAAACACCCTACTGCTACCACCTGATTAGGATCCTACCTGCAAGCACCACCTGCTAGCCTTACAGGCTGACCCAC